AATAAAAATGTAAGTGATGCAGACAAGTAAAATATTTTCTTATATAATTTGATAAAATTGAAGACAAAATATAGGGACATGAAAAAGAACACGCAGTTTATAGTGTATCTTTGGTTCGGTTTGATTTTAAAGTTTATCGATTCGTCTTATTGATTATGAATTTATAGACATGCTAACCCATTTAGAAAAAAAAATTCCTTAAACCGTTAAGGATCGATAACGTGATAACCAAAAAAATCAAAAACATTAATTAAATATTGAACCCGTTAAATTTAGGTCGATCATAAATCAATCTCTCGTGGCACAAACTTAATTGTAGATATATGTATGCACATATATAGATAGTCCTGTAATTTTATAAAATATACATATTAAACTTAATTTTATCCTACATTTGGTAGGAGGTATTAGACATGCATGAAATTATTTGTCCAATTATTTATTTCTTAATGATGAGATAAGTTATCCTTAAACATGATGGAATAACTTATCCCAAAAAATTTATCTAAAATAATTAATTCTGAAATAATTTATTTCCGACCAAGACCCCGAGTAGTATTTTAAATTCTTTTCCACCAAAATAATTAACGATGCAGAATTTTGGAATAATAATTGTGAGTTTGTGACGGTTAGGTATTAATGAAAAAGTATGGAAAGTTATTTGAGACTGTTGGTAGTGGTAGGCATGGATTCTTCCATAAATAGGATAATTAAATTATTTAGAATGGTATGTGGATTATGGATAGTTTACTTTTAAAATTTGTAGTTCTAATTTCAAATATAATTTAATAATAATAATAATAATAATAATATCATACTAATTTAATTGGCAAATTTTAATTTTTGTTACGATAGGATAGGGAAAAGATTCATAGACCCTCACTAACTTTTGAATGTTATTTATCACCTAATACTTCTAACGAATATGAAAAGACCACCATTGGATAGTGTATTAGATTCAGAGTATCTTTTTACATGAAGGACAAACTAATCGATTTGCTTTGAGATAATGAATGACAGTTGCGAATCAAACGGTTCGGTTCGGTTCGATTTTAAAATTTATCGATTTAATTTATTGATTATTGATTTGTAGAGATGTTAAATCGTTATAGAACTATTAAGATATTGACTTATCGGTTATTGGTTATTGATTATTATTGGTTACAGTTATCGGTTTAACTGTTAAGATTCGACATAAAAAAATCATTAAAAATCACTTAGAAACAAGATGACTAACAAAATGAACCATGCACATGAGTTCATAAGTTACATCTTGCTCAAAAGCAAATATTTTTATATTGTAGAATAATCAAGAGTTTGAGATAACCAGAAATAAAAGTAGTAAACCAAACTCGAAGTCAAAGACTTTATATACAAAATAGTATAAATATGATTATTTAATTTATTATCGGGTTATTTGTTAACCTGTTTTTATAAAAAAAAAACCTCAAACTGTTAAGAATCGATAACTCGATAAGAAAAAAAAATCAAAACCGTTATCAAAATCACTAAACCAACAACTCATTATTGATAAATCAATAACTTTTTTTCGATTTCGGGTTATCAATTTCAGTTCGATTTTGAACCGCCTTAATGACAATGGGTAGGGTGAATAAGTCTTTTCCTATTAGGATTTTGTCTTCTTTTATTTAAGTCATTATTTTATATAATTATCGAGTAGGAAAAAAAAAATCAAGTCCCATTTAATCGGTCAACTTTGAGATTATGGAGAAATAGAGTAGGACGGGTTAAAGTCCTTTCCTATTAAAATTTGTCTGGATCCACTTAAATCGTATTCTATTTAAATCAAGCCACATTCTATTCTAACTTCTCCTTGCCTACGTAGAAAAAAAAAAGGGATAACATGACAAAGTGGTTATTCTTTTAATTTGAATTTGGAAGTGATTACCTAAAATTACTCAACTGCTCATATACACTTTATTTTTAAATGTTCATAAATAAATCCAATTAATTTTTTTTTCAAAAAACAGGCATCTAAATTCTACATACTAATCAAACTCACACTAAATTGCAAAATTGCAATGGTAAGGCAATACAAAGAAGTCACCAACATTCTTGCGCAGAGTAAGCAGTGTTTTGGGCATGCATATATGTGTTGCTCTACTCGTGTGAAGAGATCGTTTTTGATAAGTACGATTTAGTTACGGTCTCAATTGAGGACAATTCAGTTATAATCAGAAATTTTGTTAATTTTTTTTTTAGATTCTAGATATATTGTATGAATATTTGAGGTCATTTTATATGCAATATATATTGAAGATATACTGAGAATGGAGACTTGGTTGAATCACAATGGACTAGACGGCAGAAAAATTTACCCAATAATGATAAAGCACAAAACTTTAAACTTATAACTAATTTTTCAGTGTTAAAGTTTATCATTTTCATCATTATCATTACACAATCACTTTCAAAATATAATAAATTGTGTTCTTCAATGTTAAACTTTTTCGAATATTTTTTGCATGATATAGTAGATATTCAGAATCAAGGATGAATTATTTTACAACGAAAAATAACTTAACAATTATGATTTTACGGTAATATATCTAATACAAGGTTTTTTCTTCTTTTTTTACTTCTTCATCTTTTAACTTTCTCTTTAAATCTCATATGAAGATGATAAAACACATCAATTGAGGAAATATTCACAAATATATTGAAGTTGTGATATTAAAAAATAAAAATTAGGAAAAAACTACTTACTTTCTCTCTCAAATATAATTCAATTTGTACTTTGGTATGTATTGTTTATTTATTACATCTTATTATCTATTTTTGTCTCATAAGCATTTAATATCTACTTTATTTGTTTATCTATATTTATATCTTATTTATAATGTATTTTGTGTATAAGAAAATTAGATCAGAAAAAATATACAAAATATGAGTGAAGATACTAAATCTTGAAGTTTGTTGCATTTTGAGTATGGAGTTTTAAAAAAATATATATATTTTTGACAACATTTGATGCTCCTTGGTGTGATTCAAAAAAGTTTCAAAAAAATGATATTTATATATTGCACATTTTATTTTAGTTTAATCCTAGCAATACTATAAAAATAGGTGAAAATACTTGCATAAAAAAATCAACCAAATTTATTATTTACACAGATTTAAAGTGTCACTCTATTATTGAATAAAAATAATAATTTTATTTTGATCATCGACTTTCATTTTGAAATCTAATAAATAATATATATATATATATATATATATATATATATATATATAGTCACGTGTTCACGCTATAATTGTTCTTGAATTTTTAGTTTGAAAATCATTTAATTAAATATTTAAAATGGATGAAAATTGTATGAATTTTTTTTTTATTTCTTATGATTATAAATTAATTAATTTATCTCCATTTGTTACTGCAATTGATTTTTAAGATTATTAAGGTAAATTTTAAATATGTGTTCAGTAGTTTATGATAAATTTAGAAAATTAAAGTAATTGATTAATAACTATCTAAAAATTAAATACTCCTAACAGTGTAAAATCTCTTCTACTAAATCATAGGAACACAATAATTCATTTATCTTCACTCCAAATAACAAACACTAGAAACTAATATTCTTTATTTAGTCTTAAATAAAACTATAAAAATGAATATGGATATTCCTGTAAACTACATACTAAAGATAATGGGAAAATGGAAAATAAATAAATTAATTAAAAGATTAAAAAAATATTAAAAATCCTAATATAATCCACTAGAAAAATCACGAAAATATACAATAGGATTTAGTTTTGGCTATTTATACTTATTTTTAAAAAATTTAATAGGATTTACAATAGTATTAAGTACTTTAATTAACACCATCTTTTTAAATATAGTTACCACAATTAATTTAACTTTTTTCATTTTTTAAAATCTAAATGATTATACATGTGGCTAACGTTTATATTATTTTGAATTCTTATTTTTATCATAATTAGAATACTTATCTTTATTGATTGACATCTATTTCATTATTTTAAAAAAGTATATAATTATTTTAAAAATAGGGTCATGTAAATGTAATGTAAAGAAAACACAAAACTAATTTTTAACAATGACAGTTAAAAAAATTACAGGAGATTTGTGTTTTTTATTTTTTTTAAATAACAGATTTAATTAAAGAAAAATTAGTTGTTAGTATTTTAGGAGGAATGTATGTATAATCAAAATTTAGTCGATAATGTCATGATATTAAGTAGTTAATAATGTAGTAATAAACAAAAGCAAGTATATTGTACAAGTTATCAAATGATTACGTGATTTCTTCCTCAATTTCATGAAGATTTAATTATAATGTGTTTAAGAAATAAATAACAAAAAAAGTTTTGATTAAAAAAATGAGAAATGATATATATTGAAATAGGTCATTTTTATATATTTGATTAATAATTCTTAATATTATCCGCACAACGCGCGGGCACATATACTAATTTTATATAAATATCGTGTAGAAAAAAAAAAAATCAAGCCCCATTTAATCGGTCAACTTTGAGATTATGGAGAAATAGAGTAGGACGGGTTAAAGTCTTTTTCTATTAAAATTTGTCGGTATCCATTTAAATCGTATTCTATTTAAATCAAGCCACATTCTATCCTAACTTCTCCTTGCCTAATTTAATATATATCTGATTTTACATTATTAGAATAATAAAAACTCACTGCATCATTTTTAAAAAAATAAACAACCAAACTAATTACAAAAAAGAACATGGCCAACAAAAAAAGTTAGAACTAACATCATTAACAAGCAAATCTATTTATTCTCACTATGTAATCATGTTATAAAAAGACACAAAAATATTATTTTATTAAAAAAATGAAAATATTTTATTTTTTAAAAATAGGACTCATATTGAATGGTGATGTGAGATAATCCATAATTTCTAAATTATAATTTTTTTTCCATTTACATTTGAGTCAAAGTAGGACCCTTACACATTTTCGTGGCGCTCATCACTTCTTATACAGCCATTTTGCCTCCTTTCACTTCTCACCTTTATCGACAACACCAACAATGGCGGCTGCTGCCTCACCATCTCCATGTTTCTCCAAAACCCTACCTCCATCTTCCTCCAAATCCTCCACCAATTTTCCTAGATCTACCTTCCCTTTCCATAATCACCCTCAAAAAGCCTCACCCCTTCATCTCACCCACACCCAACATCATCGTCGTGGTTTCGCCGTCTCCAATGTCGTCATATCCACTACCACCCATAACGACGTTTCTGAACCTGAAACATTCGTTTCCCGTTTCGCCCCTGACGAACCCAGAAAGGGTTGTGATGTTCTTGTGGAGGCACTTGAAAGGGAAGGAGTTACGGATGTATTTGCGTACCCAGGAGGTGCTTCTATGGAGATTCATCAGGCTTTGACACGTTCGAATATTATTCGTAATGTGCTGCCACGTCATGAGCAAGGTGGTGTGTTTGCTGCAGAGGGTTACGCACGGGCTACTGGGTTCCCTGGTGTTTGCATTGCTACCTCTGGTCCGGGAGCTACGAATCTTGTTAGTGGTCTTGCGGATGCTTTGTTGGATAGTATTCCGATTGTTGCTATTACGGGTCAAGTGCCGAGAAGGATGATTGGTACTGATGCGTTTCAGGAAACGCCTATTGTTGAGGTAACGAGATCTATTACGAAGCATAATTATCTTGTTATGGATGTAGAGGATATTCCTAGGGTTGTTCGTGAAGCGTTTTTTTTAGCGAAATCGGGACGGCCTGGGCCGGTTTTGATTGATGTACCTAAGGATATTCAGCAACAATTGGTGATACCTAATTGGGATCAGCCAATGAGGTTGCCTGGTTACATGTCTAGGTTACCTAAATTGCCTAATGAGATGCTTTTGGAACAAATTGTTAGGCTGATTTCGGAGTCGAAGAAGCCTGTTTTGTATGTGGGTGGTGGGTGTTCGCAATCAAGTGAGGAGCTGAGACGATTTGTGGAGCTTACGGGTATTCCTGTGGCGAGTACTTTGATGGGTCTTGGAGCTTTTCCAACTGGGGATGAGCTTTCCCTTCAAATGTTGGGTATGCACGGGACTGTGTATGCTAATTATGCTGTGGATGGTAGTGATTTGTTGCTTGCATTTGGGGTGAGGTTTGATGATCGAGTTACTGGTAAATTGGAAGCTTTTGCTAGCCGAGCGAAAATTGTCCACATTGATATTGATTCGGCTGAGATAGGAAAGAACAAACAACCTCATGTTTCCATTTGTGCAGATATCAAGTTGGCATTACAGGGTTTGAATTCCATATTGGAGGGTAAAGAAGGTAAGCTGAAGTTGGACTTTTCTGCTTGGAGACAGGAGTTAACGGAGCAGAAGGTGAAGTACCCATTGAGTTTTAAGACTTTTGGTGAAGCCATCCCTCCACAATATGCTATTCAGGTTCTTGATGAGTTAACTAACGGAAATGCCATTATTAGTACTGGTGTGGGGCAACACCAAATGTGGGCTGCCCAATACTATAAGTACAAAAAGCCACGCCAATGGTTGACATCTGGTGGATTAGGAGCAATGGGATTTGGTTTGCCTGCTGCAATAGGTGCAGCTGTTGGAAGACCGGGTGAGATTGTGGTTGACATTGATGGTGACGGGAGTTTTATCATGAATGTGCAGGAGTTAGCAACAATTAAGGTGGAGAATCTCCCAGTTAAGATTATGTTGCTGAATAATCAACACTTGGGAATGGTGGTTCAATGGGAGGATCGATTCTATAAGGCTAACAGAGCACACACTTACTTGGGTGATCCTGCTAACGAGGAAGAGATCTTCCCTAATATGTTGAAATTCGCAGAGGCTTGTGGCGTACCTGCTGCAAGAGTGTCACACAGGGATGATCTTAGAGCTGCCATTCAAAAGATGTTAGACACTCCTGGGCCATACTTGTTGGATGTGATTGTACCTCATCAGGAGCATGTTCTACCTATGATTCCCAGCGGCGGTGCTTTCAAAGATGTGATCACAGAGGGTGATGGGAGACGTTCCTATTGACTTTGAGAAAACTACATAACTAGTTCTAGGCATTGTATTATCTAAAATAAACTTCTATTAAGCCAAAAGTGTTCTATCTGTCTAGTTTGCCATTGGTCTTTGGCGTGGCTTTGCTTGTTGTGGCTGTTGTATTACACTACTTGGTATTTATGTTTACTTAAAGTTTTGCATCATCTTGCTTTGGTTGAATGTGAAGAAGGATTCAGATTTTTTTTTAAATTGGCAGCATTAATTTCATTATCTGGAGCTCTATTTGAAAATGGTTGGCATAAGACGGACACGAGGATAATAGCTTGAGTAACTAGAATCTATGGAAAAACTTGAATGTGGTGTCACTTGTGATAAATTCAAATGATGATGTTAATTTGGATCGCTTTGTCAATTGATGTACTTGATTCTCGCTCCTCCTTTTCTCTGTGCATACTGAAATGTGAATGATTGGTGTAAAAACATGAAAATATGTTAGTTTGGTCATGGACCATGTGATTTGCTTTCCAGAAAACGTGTCTCTTGATTTGGCGTACATAGTGATGTATGCGCTTCTTCAAAAGAAACAACCAAAGGAAATAATAAAGATATTCATATGTAGATTAACCATGGAAGTCTTGAAGAAAAATGTCATGAAAGTGAAAAGAACTTTTGGTAGGGGTGCACATTTCCTCCTTTAATAGGTCTTACGTTTCGATTAATAGTGTTCTGTTACAGATGGAGAAGATCATTTACCTCTTTTTCAGCCTCCTTCTCTTGATATCATGTGTTAGTTCCATTGGCTTTGAATTAAATATAAAATCCGACATGCCAAAATGGTGGTATCTGCAACCTTTTGACAATACCAGTAATTCAACTGAGTTGTCTGGCCTTCCACATTTGTTCACTGCACTTATCTTGTATGGTTATTAAATTCCCAGATCCCTCTGTGTCTTCATTGAAGAAGTCCTACATGCATCATTCATAAATCAAGATATCAGTATGTATGATGATAAGACAGGAACTCTTGCTCAAGCTCGTACTTTAAACTTAAATGAGGAGCTGGGGTAGGTTGATAACTTGATACAATAACCGAATGGACTTCCTGAAATGCCCTATTGCTGGTCTGCAGTATGGAACACGTGCTAGTGATGTAGAACTTGCAGCTGCAAAGCAGTTGGCAGAGACATGGGCCATGGCCGAGTGCTAAGGCAGAGGACTGCAAATCCTTTTTTTGTTGGGTTTTATTTGCCCTGAATTTCTTACCATAAATATGTTTTCCTTTTAGGAAAAGGTTTTAATATTTTACTAGTCTTTTTCTTGTAGGAAAGGTTTAGAACTCTATAAATATAGGCTTGTTCCTTCTAACTTAATCAGCATTCACAATGTAGTTTTAAGGGCTTTGAGAGTTTTGGTTAGGGGGAGAATTTGTGGGTCACAAGCTTGATACGTTATCACTTGTGTGAACCTCCCATGTATTCCGAGTGAATTGGTTGAGGTTGTTTCTCTCTATATTTTGTACTCTCATATTTATAGTGGATTGCTCATCTCCTTTGTGGACGTAGGTCGATTGACCGAACCACGTTAAATCTGTCTCTTTTGGTGTGTTTCTCATTTGTCTTCTTACTCGTGGTCTTTCGAGGTTTGCTTTGCTAGCTTCCGCATTACACCTGCTTATTTTCGGTCCTAACATTTTTCCCCAATTCAAATCCGGACATGGGTGGGCAACATATTGAACCTTCACAGACAACTGATGGTGGAAATGCAGGAGTCCAATTAAGAGACAGTCGTCATCTCTAAAGACAAAAGAAACCTCAAACCAGCAATAAAGGGGTTCAGCTTTGAGGATAGCTGTTTTATAAAGCGATGTTGGATGGAAGAACCAAATACAGATGTCATTTTGCTTTTCTATAGGATACTTGCAATTTGTTATGCTTCTGTTCCTGAGCAAAATGAGGAGACTCGAGGCCTTAATTATGAATCAGAGTCTCCAGATGAAGTATCATTTCTTGTTGCAGCAAAGAGAATTCGGTTGAGTTTTTCAAAAGAACTCAATCAAGTGTTTTTGCAAGAGATAGGTCTTCCTTTTAAATGGTTTCTGTTTTGTAGACGAAAAGAAAAGAGTTTTTTTTTACTATGAAGAACTTCTATCTTGTAGAGTTTTAAACAACACATAAGATTATGTGGGAAACAGGTATTGCTAATACTCGCATTACTAATTCATGTGTTATCAATCTTTCTACCAAACAACCCCTTAATTCATACCGGTGTGTTGTTTCCTTTTCCAATAAAACAGAGTTGGCTTCTTGCATTGTAGGCAGGTAACGCCCTTTTTTTTTCTGTAAAAGTCAGTCCTAGTAAATTTTATAATGCAACAAAAGTGTTACATATTAATGGCAAATATTGAACTGCTCTTTTTTCTAACAATAGAATTTCATATGTATATTCACTATGGAGAATTCAAATGAAAATCTACTTAATAGATGCAATTAATCCTTATTTGTATATAACGTGATTTTTTTTTTCATAATATAATTTTTCTCCATTCACGTGGGAAATTATTGAGTTTTTTTTAAAAGTTAAGCATTAAAAGATGTATCATGAGAATTGAGAAATGGATGGAAATAAAATTGAGGAAAAAATGAAATTTGAAGAAAGTTCATGACTATGTGCACCCATAAACAAAAAAATGTAGCACAAGATAATTAACTTTATATTGATAGTTTTGAATCAGCGAGTTGATGTATACTTAGGTAATATAAGTCATATGATTTATCTTTTTAACTGTTTTTGGTTTTCGTCGTTGTGCTCTTTCCAATTATGAACCCCGTTTGATTTCATGAGTTCGTAGAGAACTGATCTTACAAGTTACACTAATTCTCCTTGAGGTAGCATATACTTCACCCTCCAATAGGTGATTTTTAAACGTGTAACCACTAACCAATACATATACTATTTGATCATGTCATGTCAAACTCAAAAACCATTAAAAAGGGGTGAAAATTATTTACACCTCCGAACTTTACTTTAAAAGTCGAACTCTCCTTCAACTTAAAGAAATAATCATTCTCCCCCTTTATCCTAATTGACTTTCTTAAATGTCTACTCTATCCTTACATTGTCAATCTTTTTTTGTATATTTTTTAAATCGAACTTTGACCGAAATTGTTGTAACAATCCCAAACTTTGGGCAGGACCTATTACCCTCTGCACTATTTAATAGTGTATTTTAAAGATAATATATATGTGTCCACGTGGACAAGTTACTATTTATAATGATGCAATTATATATATATAACTTGGTGTAGGAGCATCAAAATGACGCGATTCTTATTCCATTGAAAGCATAACTCACATAAATACACTATATGTAAAAATCATGGACATAAGATCTCTAGATTAGTACATATATATTTTCAGATTCTGCGTTGCTCAATTCTTCAGTTTTACAAGCATGTGACAGAAAATTCATAACTTGATATATGAGTGATGTAACTATGAGATTCTTCTTTCGTTGCGAAGAGAGAACAAGAAAAACACTAGGTGTAATAATCATAACGAAATTCACTCCGAATTGATGAAAATAAAATTTTCAAGTTCTACATGCCTGGAATACCGATTCCTCAGCTTAGCTAGCACCCTTGCCAAAAAAAAACAAATTTATCTCTTAATTTTGGAGTGTTCAAATCATGACCTTTCGCTATGACTTTCATTTCGAATTGATGAAAAAAAAATTCAAGTTGACAACACGCTTGAATGTTGATTACTCAGCTTTGTGCACCCTTGACAAGAAAACAAATTTGTCTCCTGAGCTTGGAGTGTTCAATCATGACCTTTGTGAGTACATCATTTCAACATAAATAAGTAGAGGTTTGATTCTAAGGGTATTTCAGTTTGACATTATGGGTAAAAATGCCCCTAAATTTGAGTTACTCTTTGAAGCATTAATGAATTACACAAAATCATTACTCTACCACAAGCCAACAACTCAAGCTGAATGCAAGTCGCTTTATCTAAAATGAAACTCAACAACCTATCGTATATCAAAATTCCTTTTGAATTGATCAGATTAATATCTGAAGTTGATTTACAAATTTGGCATGTTCGATACACAGCCTTGAACAGTCATAGTAAAAAAATCATAACTCGATGTAGGAGTTTCTGAACCACAAGTTTCTTCTTTTGTTGCGGAGAGGATTTCAAGAACTACAACATACGCTGAAAATTCGGATCAATTTTTTATGGATTTGTACAGATACACCTTTAAAGTCTGCTCAGATTAATTCCTAAATTTGATTGTCTGTTTCACAGCTTTGAGCGGTTGGGGTAGAAAATTCATAATTCGACATAAGAGCCTCTGAATCACGAGCCACTTTTTTCATTACGAAAAAAACTCCAAGAACTGCTATCCTTGAAAAGCCTTTGAATTCAGCTAAGATTTTGTCTTGCTTGACTCTTCTCCTTCACTTATTTATGGCATATTTGGAATATCTAGTTGTGTGCCATCTCTGCCACTTTAAAGAGCAATTGTAATGATCACACAATATCATGAACTTTTTTTTACTCATGCGACTAAGCCTAGAGTAACGTCTCCAAGCACCTACATATCTCACTAAAGAGGATTAGGTTATATTGTAGTTCAAGATATGTGTTTTTTGTGGATCGTACAAATTATACTCTTGTGGGACAAGAGTAACATGTAGTTTAGACTCATGCGTTAAAGAGCATTTCAACCTATTGTTTAGGCTTGTGTGTTAAGGTGTGCTTCAACTTGTAGTTGAGGAGCGTTTTAGGGAAGAATTCCATCAATGTAACTGTCCGTCTAACTCTTTTGTGATGTAGTATTATTGCATTTCAATTTGGTGTTGGATTTTATGTTTTTGCATGTGAGATCCCGTGGTTCTTTTGCATAATATGCATAGTATTGCATGAGTGTATGAGGTTTATGTGACTTGGTGTATCACATCAGGAGAATAAGGTTGCAAAGGGGGTGGTAAAATAAAAGAATAGACTAACGTTATGGGTCAAGGATGCCCTTAAACAAGTTCGAGTTAAAGAATGTCTCTTCTAACACCTCGCCCGTTCAGAAGGTTTAAGTTAACCGGTATCTTTGGAGTAAGACAAAGAGTGTCTTATATGCTAATAAGGATGTTTTATAAGGTGATATAGTTGTTAGGGTTTTTCCCTGATTTTCTTACCTTATTTG